TGGCACGCAGCGTCCAAGGGGGTGCAAATGCTTCCTGCAAATGCTAAAAGCAGAAGATGGGTGCTGGTTTCGCTTTTGAAGGAATATGGTAGGAAAAAAAAAAACCCAACAAATTAAATATCCAGGATTGTGATGGGAATCCTGTAACCTTTCAACTGGGCATGTCATTAAGAGCCTTTTCCTGTTGGTCTGGTGCAGTCGGAGGTGAAGCTGGGAAGGGGTTATTATTTCTATCCGTGAGGCAGATTAATTCTGAGGCCTTTTAACTTCCCTTGCAAACGGCCTGAATTAATGTTTTAGGATTTTAGTCCCTGCCTCCTCCCCCTGCCCCCAAAGGCCAGACCCTGGAAGTCCCATTATGCTCCTGTCAACGGGGCTATTTCTGGAATTGATGATATGAATGAAGCCTAAAACTCCGCTCTCATTAACGTCTGCAGCTTATCCCAGTGTCACTCCTAAGCTGGTGGGACTCAGTGACACTGCAGGGGAAGGCTGTCATTTCAACCCAATTTTCACATCACATTTGCACAAAAATTTCCAGGCCTCGCCAGCGCCTTCGGCACATTTGTCAAATACCAGCCGCTGTCCCGGCGAGCAAAGGCTTTGCCTGGCACAAAAGAAATGACTGCGGGTGGTGATGGGGGACCCGATCGCAGCCACGGCCACGGCCCGTGGGTCTGAACGATCTCTCCTTGCCCCAGAAAGCAGGCAGCAGAGCAGAGCCGGAGCGTTACCTGGCCGGACCCAGGCAGTTCAATGCATTTCTGTGGTTGGGTTTTATTGCAGGATACAAGCTTGCAGCACCTGGTGCTGCAGGGCTGCCCGGGCATTGGTCCCCACCTTGTCCACGGAGCCCCGCTCCCCATCATGCCGGCTGTGCTTTTGGGGGGTCCCACCCCATCTCCTGGCCGTGGCAGGACGGCAGCATGTTGCCTTGGAGCCGCTGCTTTGCTGGAGCACCGGCACTGCTTAGGGAGAGCTGGAGGAGGGGGTCAGGGAAGGAGCTGGAGAGGAGAGAGGGGGGTGCAGGGAAGGAGGAGAGGGAGAACAGTGGAAGCAGCAGGGCACCAAGGGCAGAAATAAATATTAATCACCCGGAGGAGCATCTGTCCCTGTAAAGCATCACCAAACGCTGCCCTTCCGTACCCAGCTCAGCTGTTGGCAGCGGTGCCTGGCCCCCTCCAGGGAACGGACCACCATCTCTGGGGACGGGTGATGCTGTGTCCGCTCTCCCCATCCCCAAGCCAAAGAGCACGTCGGGAGTGGTGTGCGTGCTCCGGCTCAGCGGAGAGAGCCCGGGCTGCTGATGGACCGAGCATCGTGCCTGCCGTCCTCTTGGTTGCCGCTGCCCTCGAGCAACAGCTTCCCATTTAATTCACTTGCTGGTGAATTTGATCCAAACTTCTGCAACCAAATCATAGCAAGCATAATGCAATATCTTTCTATTTTGATTATATTAAGCTGGGTAGAGCTGGCTAATTGAATCTGGGGCTCTTGCCTCTTAATTACAAAAGGTCGGGCTCTGCCAAGTGCAGGCAGGTAGCATGGGGATTGCTCACGGTGGGAGGGGGGGCTGAAGGCTCTTGCTGTGTGCAAAGGCTCCTGTTCGTAACAAGTGAGCGACTTCTGGATATTTTCCTTTTTTTTGGTCCTCTTTATTTTACAAATTTTAAGAGTCAGGTTACAACAGAAGTCTTACCGGGTATTTCTGTGTGGCAGAAATATATGTTTCTAATCGAAAAGAATCAGTGAACACTTTGGCTGTCTGTCTTGACCAAGTTGATGGTAAAAATGTGGATTTTTAAGAATAAGCTGGGGCGAGCAGGTGACCCTGAAAAGCGGGGACTCTTTCTCTAGCACCCGTGGGATGGAGCGGATGGGCTGATTACCTGCTGTGTACGTGTGAACCCCATTTTTCATTGGTTTTAAACATCAGCCCTGCGCTCCCCACCTGCTCGGCATGAGGAGGGAGCAGGACCCCCCCAGGGCCAGCTCCAATCCCAGTGAGTATTTACCTCGTGCAACGTGGACTGTGGGCTCAGCTCAGCACCGGGGCCAGAGGCGGTGGCAGTGCCACCGCTGCCCCTTGCCCCAAGCGTTTGCCTCCTCCTCCTCGCCTCAGCTGCTGGCCGAGGACCAGCGTGGTCTCTGGTGCTTCCCAAAGCCCCTTTGCCCCTTCGCTGCCTGTGCAGCAGCAGCGAGTGGCATTCAATAAAGCACCTTCTGCTTTTGCTAATTGAAGAGTTTCCCTTTGTCAGCCTCTCGGCTCAAAGGAGGGTCGGTACAAAGCCGTAGCCATCAGCACTTTGTGTGCCTCTGAAAATCCCATTAGCAGAAGAAAGAGCTTGAAGTTTCATTCAACTGGAAAAAAAAAAAAGGTAAAAAAATAAAATAAACCCCCCAACCTTCTGATCTATCAGCTGCACATTAACATACCGCCCTCGGCACCACCGGGGTCCCCATCCCAGCAATATTTAATCAGGGTGAAGTGTTATATTGGACTAAAATGTATTTGCTTGAGGGAGCGATATGCTGATAAGTGGGTCTGCGGTTAAAGCTGGGAAAAAACCCCTGCCATCAGCAAATAAAATCCCCGCCCACTCTCTGGGTCCCTGCCTTCCCCAGGCTGTTTTCCTGCCCGCGGGATGTTTGTTCCTGCAAGAGGAGTCGAGGTGGGAGGGCAGGGACCAGCCCTGGGCTGGGGGCACAGGCAGAGCTGGGGGGGACGGGACTGGGGTGCGTTCGCCATCGCCTCGCTGGGGAGGGCAGCGTGGGGGGGCTGTGCCTGTGTCAGCACCTGGGCCAAGACGGGGGCTGCTGGGGCTCTGGGTAGCGGGGTGTTTGGGCAGGTGGGGGCTGCTGCCTGCCTGCCTGCACTGCGGGGGGACCCTTTGGTGGGTGCAGCCCTGGCGCTGGTCCCCGCATCTCCCTCCCGGCTGCATCTCATGCCCCGTGTGCAGCAGGTTGTGGCGTCTTGGGGGGGCTGCACTCCCCTGGCTACCCTCCGCTTGCAATTAGTCTCTGGTGCCAGTGCCGGCACGCTAGCAAGCATCGAGGGGCACCCACGGCTTTGCCCTCTGTGGCATGCCGGAGGAGGATGGGGAGGCTGCCCTCAGTGCCATCCCGTGCTGTTCCTCCCATTTCAGCCACCGCTCAGCCCGTTGTGCTGGACGTGGGGCTGCGGTGAGCTTGGGTCTGCTCAGCTGCCCTGGGTGGGCATTAGGGCTGCTCTAGGTCTTGGAGAGGGAGGAGGTGAGATGGGAAGTGGCTCCAGGTAGATGCACATCATGGTTGTGTGCCCATCTCTGCTTGACGGGGAGCTCACGGTCCCCAGCCAGCATCCAAGCAGCTGCCCATCGTGGCAAAAGCATCACCCAGGTCCCGTGCCCAGCTGAGATGGAGCCCGCAGAGGAAAGCCAGGCCCAGCATGGGGTCTTCTCCACTGCCATGAAAGATTTTGCACGAAGCGCTGCCTGTCTGGGGAAGCATCCATCTGTCTCTGCGGGTTTTGACCCCACCAAGTAGGCTACTCCCGAGCTTCCCTGCTGAATCTCTCTCACAGCCCTTGCAGACACATGCTTATTCTTTTTTTAATTCTTTATGTTCTCAAGGGCTTTGCAGTTCCTCGCTGGCAGAGCCATGGACACGGCTGGCTCTGCAAAAGGATGCTTTCCAGCCCCCTAAGCCGGGGAACACCCGTGGCTCCCCCGTGGCTGCTGTTGGCAGCCTCCTGCCCCCTCCTCCAGCCCGCCCTCCACGCCTGGCCCCGCAGGACTATATTTGGGCTAAATATTCCAGCCCATAGCCCCAACCTGACAGTTGGAATGTCTATCCCGATATCTTGTAAACATTTCTTCCGATTAAAAGATCCAGATTACCAGCAACCAAACTGTGACTCAGTCCCATGTGATTTCCCAGGAATTCGCCCAGGATGGGTGGCAGGAGCTGCCAGCTCCAGCCCCATGTGCCCAGCGGGGTGGCACCTGCTGATTCATCCTCACCTTTTTCTTCCCCAGCCAGATAACGATACAGCACGGGCTCCCAAACACCACCCGCTACCGCGTTGCAGCGAAAGCTCTTGTCTGACAAGGGCCACGCTTATTTTCCTAGAGCCTGGAAGCTGCTGCCTGTGCCCAGGCAGGAGCGTGGCCCCGACTGCCTGTGGGTCACGGCAGCCGATGGGGTGTTTTCAGTGCTAGACTGGAAAACATCCCCGGCACCGCGCTGCACCAGCTCCTGGATTTCACAGCTCTGTGCCCTGGACAGTTGGGAGCTGGCTGGAAATGCCCCCTAGAAGGATGCAGAAATTGGGTACCAGATTTGAACCATCCCTATGAGGATTTGCTGCAGCAGCATGCTTTATTCTGCCCCAAAAGTAACAGCATCCAAAGTCTGTCCCGGCAGCTCAGCTCTTTTAAAATCGCTCCAAGAGGCAGCAATCGGGGTAGGGGATGGGCTCTGCTGGCCCTCACAGTCTTAAGGCTTTTAGGCAGTCAGTTAATGGTTTTGACAGTCTTAATTTGGACTGGGAATGAAAAGTTCAAGCAATGACTTCAGGGGAACGCCCCTGGGATAAGCCGTGACATGGTTAATAGAAAATTGTAATGTTGTTAAAGTGCTTTTCCGTAAAATGCCAGGAGAGGAAATTAACGGTGTGTTGGGTTTTTTTTCCTAAAAGTTGATATCGTTCTTTTAATTTAATTTTTTAATCCATCACATCAGCACTCAGCACTCGTGCCATGCAACTTTCATTTTATAGCGGTTTTCGCATTAGCTGTAGACACCGATGTCAGCGTGGGGAGAACACAGCATGGGTTTGCCGTGCAGGTATCTAAACAGTAGGCAGGCTCTCCATGCAAAACCAGATAAAATCTAACCTGGAGAAGCTGGCATGCGCCTTGCTTTAAAGACCAGAATAACCTTTCTGATTCAGTGGTGGCCGCTTGTGGATGCTTGTCTAGGTCCATTGCTTCCTTGACGGGGCGCCGTGCAGGTGGTTCGAGAGGGTAAGCATGCTGGTGATCCTGCTCAACTGCGTGACTCTGGGCATGTTCCACCCCTGCGAGGACATCGCCTGCGACTCACCGCGCTGCAGGATCCTCCAGGTACGGCTCGGCCGCTGCTTTTAGCTTAACGGCGGGCCCAGGTTGATGGGGAGTGGGAAGGACCGAGCTGCGGCAGAGCTGGCTCCAGCCGCGGCGGAGGTGCCCTGGGATGGCTGGGTCCTGCCTGCGCTGGCTGTCCCGACAGCACATAAAAAATGCTGATTTTGCTGCTTGGATGCAAACACGTGGTGTCATCAGGCAAAGCCCCTGCCAGGCTGTGCCAGCCCCAGCGTAGCCAAGCCTTGCTTGGAGTGCTTGGGGAGGGTTAACCATTGAGTTTATAGTGAAAACAGAGCCCAAAATATACTTTTCCCTTTATCCCAGTGCTGTGGGTGCTGTCGGTCAGACTGGGTTGGGTGAAGGCACGGGGCTACTCCCAGCACTGCCTCTGCCCAGGGATTTTAGCCCTCAGTGGTACAAGAGGAGACCCTGTTGGACTCAGGTCTCTAATTCCCTCCCCTGGTGTGAGCGTGCAGCGATGCAGGAGCATCCCTCCTCCCTTCCTTTTGCAGAGCTTCGACGATTTCATCTTTGCCTTCTTTGCCGTGGAAATGATCGTCAAGATGATTGCACTGGGGATTTTTGGGAAGAAATGCTACTTGGGAGACACGTGGAACCGCCTGGACTTCTTCATCGTCATCGCAGGGTAAGCCCGGTGCGGTGGGTCCCCCTCTCCCCGCGCCTCTCTGTTGTCATTCACGGCACCGCTTGGCAAATGGCGGATTTGGGGGAGCAGCTGGTTTGCAGTGGTGAAGGCTGGGGGCTTGCTGGGCATCGGTGCTGTCGGTGTTGTCCATCCTGGCTCCGCAGTGGGGATCACCACTGGACTGCAGCAGTCCCTCTGGTCCCCTCCATAGCTCATGGGAGAGCTGATGCTCAGCTCATGGAGAGAGCAGGGCAGGGCAACAAAAACTGTTTGCGGTGGATTTTGGCCAGCCCGTGCCTCGGGGCTCCTCGCCGGGTGCTGGGCTCAGCTCTTCTCCTTCCAGCCCCACTGGTGGTTTTGATTTCCATGGGGCAAGGTGGCAGTGGAGCGGGTGGTTGGGAGCACGGAGCGGCACACCAGGGAGGACAGTTCACCGAAATGTGTGTGATTGCCCTCTTTTTTTTTTTTTTTTTTTTTGGGGAAAGTGACCAAGTTTGCCTTTTTGAGTGTTTTCCTTTCAGAGGCACCTGGTTTGAATTAAAGGCTCTTCCAGCACCCGAGAGTCTCCTGGCAGAGGCTGGAAACCCACATGAAAAGTCCCTGGCCCCCGGCCAGTGAGCTGAGTTTCTTTGACACACGAATCGCTTGCCGGCCCTCGCCTGCCCTCCCCGCTCCAAGAGCCCAAAGACCTTTGGGAAAACAGTGTTTTTTTCCTCTTTTGATAGAGCTAGAGATCAAATTTACTGGATTTTCCTGGAAAGGAGCAGGGGACCCTCCCAGCTGGGCTGTTTCCCCGGTGTAGGTTTGGTGTGCCCCAAGAAGGGGTAACACCTTGGTGGGCTTTGCTTATGGTCCATCGCCGGCCCCATAGGGTCATGGCACACGCCTCTGCCAGGCGTCTGGGAGAACCAAAACAGTGGCCCAGTAAAACCAGTAAGGAGGTGCCAGGTCTCCCAGCACATCCTTGGCCTGGGAAACTCATTGCCACGGGGTGCTGCAGAGCCCAGAAGATGTAAGCGAGGCTCAAGACCCAGACTGGAGGCAGAGATGGAGGGCAGAAAGACCAAGAGCTGTAACTGTCCCCGTAAACCTATCTTCTGCAGGAGGCCACAACCTCGTGCTTTCCAGCTGCACCAGTCTCTGGCTCCTTGGGTTAGGAGAGGGCTCAAAGTTTCCTCCTGAAGTGTCTGAGCAACGTTAGGGGCTGCAGCGATGGGACATTGGACAAGGTGGGACCCCGGGTCCAGCTGGCTCTGGTAGGGTTGTAAACATCAGCAGCACAGCCAAGGGCTGGAGCCTGCTAAAGCCACCCTGTGTATTCTTTATTTCTTCTTCTTTATTATTTCTTACATTAGAATTAAGTGTGATGAAGAACCAGACCCAAGCAAGGCCAGGCATCCCAGCTGGGGAGGCTTGGGGAGGCATGGTGGTGGGTGCTGGGCTGCTTCCAGCTCTGCCGCCCGGAGATGCTGCTGCGTTCCCCTCCCAGCCCGGTCCTGGCCTTGCCTGTTGAGCTTGTAAAGCCTTTGGAGCTAGTTGTTACCCTTGACGTGCTTCTATGGAGACCCCACTGTGATGGGACCTCGGTCTAGAGGGACATCAGCAGAGACCATCCTAATACCTATGCCAAAATATAGTTGCACTTTCCTTAAGCGCACATCCGATCTCCTGCCCACCTACTGCACCTGGACGGGCATTTGGGTGTGTGAGAGCTGCCTCCTTCCCGGGAAAAGTGTGGATAGCGGCACTGACCTCCCCTCTGATGAGGCCGCCTTCCCGCATCCCCGATGCATGGAGTCATTTATTTGCTGCGGAGGCTATGCAGCCTCGCAGCTCGACTGCTCCCGTGACTCCTGCCAGCTCGGCTTTGCCTCTCACTAAATGATGGGTCTTTCTTTCGTGTGCATGAACTGTTCCCATCTGGGCGCCGTCAAAACCAATTCAGCTGACAAAGGATCGAACTGCCTTTAAATACAAAGCGGAGCCTCTCCTCCCCCAGCGCCTGCTTTCTCTGCTCCCTTTCGCGCCCTTGTGCTCTCCTCCAGCCCTCGCCCGTCCAGCCGGGAGCGCTGCATCCCTCGCAGAGCATCGCTGCCGTCCTGGAGGGTCCCTCAGCCGTCCCTGGCAGTGCCGAGTGCCGGGGAAAGCCGAACGGGCTGCAAGAATGGGCCATTGCCGTAGCAGAGGAAAAACAGAGGGACCAGAGCCTGTTACTAGACTAAAGACGTAGATAAAAAACACCTTGAGGATAAGAGAAAAAAGCACTCCAGGGTCAAATCCCAACCAGACGGAGGGAAATTCCTCCGGTAGCCCCTGAGTGCAGCTCTGTGGTTCCCACACGGGGCAAATTACCCCGACGAGCATCCAGACCACGGTGCTAACAGCAGAGCGCGGGAACAAGGGACAAGCCGAGCTTGACATGGAGGCATCTTGTGCCCGAGCAGGTGTGTGATGTGGGGAAAGGGGCCAGACCCGAGCTGTGGCCCTGGAGGAGAGCGTGCGCTGGGGCAATCCTCAAATCCCCGCTGTATTTGCTAGATACCCGATAAAGTGCATCACATTTTTATGTAGGTCTCGCGTAAGGGCTTCAGCCAGGTTCCCCAGTGAAACGGCAGGGGAAGAGACCCACGAACTGGTGTTTCCATGTGGCCCTGGTGACCACAACAAAGCAGCTCAGCTTCTGCTTTCCCACTTTTTTCCTCCCCTTTTTGTGCAAGAGTTGGAGGCGGGGAGGCAGCAGGACAGCGTGGGCTCCCCGCTGCCCGGCAGGTCCCCGGCTCCTCCTCTCCTGCTTTCCCTGCTGCTTCCCTGCCCATGGGCTGCAGAAAGTGATGGCAGGGGGAGAGGAGAAGCAGCAAACCGTGTCTGCGGGGCATCGGGTGGGGAAGGTGCGTCGTGCCGGGGGGGCATGTGGGATGTGTTGCATGCCGGGGCTGTATGCTCCCACGGGCAGATCTCCCATAGAAACCCTTCCCAACCACCACCCGTCTAGGAGAGGCTTCCAAAAGAACCCCCAAAACCCTGTGGCATTTCATCTTCTCTATTCCTTGAGAAGTTTCTGGACCTGCCAGGGGTTGAAATAATGGAGAAACCTTTTTGTGCGTGTTTGCCCCAAATCTCTCGCTTGCAGAGGGCTGGGAGAGTCGCTCAGGTGCTGCGCTCGCTCCTGCCACGCTGCTGGCCACTTTCTGGCATGCCATTAAGTACTTCTCAGCTCTGTTAAACTGTCCAGACCAATCTCATGAGCTCATGGAGAGTAAATGACTTCTTTGTGACAATGTAATGCAATTAGTGCTAATTGTAGAGTGTGTAATGTCTGCAACACATCTCCGTAATTACAGTAAAACTTGCTGGAGATGAGAATAGCACTGTACTATCAAAACTCAGCTTAGTGAAACATGGCTCTGGCTGTAGGTTATGGAGTTGTGTGGGGAAAAGGGAAAGAAACAAGTGATGAATGACATAATTATGTTGTGTTATTTTAAAGAAGAGGATTTGGGGAGTTAGCTTTTAAGAGAACGCTTGAAGGTTAATGGGTGTTGCAAGCCAGCTCTTACCCTCTAAAGACGATTCAATATGATTTCGACCTCTCTCAGTGTAAGATGCAGATGTATCGAGGATGAATGCTTGTTTACATCCAAAAATATGCAGAGTCATTTACAGTTTGGTGCTGGCTGAGGCTCTGTCTGGTGAACCGGAGCTGTGGGATGGAGATGTGTCCTGACTTGCCATCTCCCTGGCTGCTTCGGGACCCAGCACCTGCTCTGCCTCCCCCTCCTCCGGGCAGGGCGCACGGAGCTCTTCTCCAATCAGTCTGTGGGAAGAAGATAGCCACAGATTGAGATCTACCTGCTCCTCAGCTGGAGCCATCCCTATCGCCAGCCACTTTGCTGCAGTCCCACCAGCTTGCAGGACATCAGCTTGTTTTGACTTCGGTCGGATAAGGACTTTCCTGAACCTCTGCATCCCTGTGGATTGAATTGTGCTTTAAACCATCCTCATCAAAAAAACCCCAAAACAACAAACAACCCCAATGGTTAATTGTTTTCCCAGGAGGGAGGCTTTAAATCAGGGGATAATTTGGTGCTGTAAGAGCTTACAGGGTTCCCCTCTGCCTTCTCCAGACACAGGGTCGAGCAGGGCTCTGGGTCCGTGCCTGCGTTTCTGCTCCCCTCTGAGCAGGGCTGTGCATCATCCCGTGTTTGAGTTGTGTGGGTCTGTTGTTACTCTGGGCTCAGTCAGTTGTTTGGCCAAGCCTGCGGAGTCCTGTTTGTGCTTTGCTCACTGTAACGGTAACGTGCCTCTTAGAAGACTTTGTAGGAAACTTAAACACTTCTGGAATATTTTGCTTATGATTTGAGACGAGCCGGGGCTGGAGGTGGTTGGCAGGCTGCTTTCTTTAGAAACAGAGACACCGTTTCTTTTTCTCTTTGCTTCCTGAACACTTCTTCTAATGTTTGTTATCATTTTTTCTCCCTCTGTTGAAGGCTGTATTAAAGATTTAGCTCCACTGAAGCCTTCATAAACAACCCTTAAGGATGTCTTGCTCCCTCCTGGTTTTGCGTGCTGATTTTCAGCGATGAAATATGACGTGGGAAGCCTTGCTGTATTCATAAGTACCTAGGAGAGAAAGGGGTGCCACAGTCCCCCACTCCATCCCTGCTCCATCTAACACTGGATGGTTTCTGAAAAGCTCTTTGGCTCAGAAATTGGGATAAGGGCGATGCTGCCAGACCGGTCTCCATGGGGAGCAGGGATCCTGTGGCAGCAGCAGCCAGAGCAAAGTTCCTGCTGGGTGCGTTGGGTGAAGCTTCCAGTGCGTGGCCTTCACCTCGCAGCGCTGGTTCGCTTCACAAGCAGGCAGGGCTCTTCTGAAGGGCACTTTAGCTGTACGAGGCTGATCGAGGGGCTGTTCCAGCTCCCCAGTTCAGACGTGGGGAAGAAGGCACTGGCGTGGGGCTGCCCGTGGGGCTCTGGGCCACAGCCTCCCGCTGTGACTG